TCTTCTTCAATCCTTAGAGTAAGAAGTTTTAAATACAAGCTTAAGGACTTTAAAAAATATTATTTTTTTAATAAACAGCAAATGGGTGATTAGAATGTTGATTTTGGAAAGTTACAAATGAACTAAGGGTCCAGATGGATTTGAAATAAGATTTTGAAATTAATTATAAGAATCCTTCCTATGGAAAAATGCTGTTGGTTTGATTTTTTTTTTTTTAAGAAAATGATAGTATGGGACTTTGAAGTTGGACACTAGAGGGAACCAGAAGGAACTAAAGATTACTATTGAAGGAGAAGAACACTTAAATGTGACTTACCAATACAGAATGGAACAAAATATTGTAACAATGGATCTATTGAAAGATATTTGTGAACAATGGACCCAGAAGTTAATTTTAAAAGTGTCTGCCATTATAGATAGACTGTGTCTAAAAGATGGTATGGAAGAGGAACAAACTTTACTGGACAAGACTGAGACTGATTTGAAAGTGGATTTAAAAATGACAGGCTCCAAGAATGATATGGAAAAAGATGCTACACTGGATATACAAATGAAACTAGCTGATGTCTTAATAATTAAAAGGGATATACAAACTAAAATAGTGACCTGGATAACTTTCCTATATTGGATTTATAAAAAAAACTTGTTAAAGTTTGGAAGATTTACGAAAAAATGAAAAGAAATCAAGTTCTAGGGCAGTATTTGAAGGGACTAAAGATCAAGATTGTTAAAAGTAAAAGAAAGTGATACAAATTTTATTTATTTGATAAACTAGAAAAAATAGATGTGTTAACTGGACATCCAGTTAAGTCTATTAACCCTTAATAGACTTTTGCTGACCAAGACTTAATGACAAGGCTTTAAAGATTTGTTTATAAATGAGAGATGAGATATGGGAAGAAGAGATCATTTGTTGACAAAATAGACTTGTTAAAGTTTTGTGAAACTTTTGAAGAATTTTGTGAAAAGGGACAAAGAAAAAATGAAAAGAAATCAAGTTCTAGGACATTATTTGAGAGGATTAAGGACCAAGATTGTTAAAAGTAAAGGGAAGCAATACAAAGTTGATTTATTTGATCAAGGTTAAAATAGACATTATTATCTGTGGTAACCCTTAATGGACTTTTGCTGATCAGGACTAAATGACGAGGCTTTAAGTATTTGTTTATAGATAAGAGATGAGATTTGGGAAGAAAAGATCATTTGTTGTATTTTAAGAGAAAGTCATAAGTTACTAAAATTGTGCATACTTGTTGTGATGAAGGGGGAAGTTGTTTCTTTATATATTTCTTTTCTTTTTCTTTACTATATTCTTATTTTTCTTTCTTTCCTACTTTTCTTTGTATTTTTTAAATGTTCTGCACTTTCTATTTTTTCTTTATTCTTTTATCTTTCTTAGTTTGTATTAGTTTGTATTTTTTTAATTGTAATGTTCAATAAAATTACTATTTAAAAAAAGGTAGTATATTTCTATAAAGATAAGGAAGAAGACTTTCCACTCTGTTGTTAAGGTGGAAAATATGAAAGCTAAGATCCCTGACATTCTTTCCACCTTCCTATTCTTTGCAGAACATACTGGACTGTTTGTGAATGCATAAACCTATCAAGACAACTGGGTGTATTAAGCACAACAAATAACCTAAACCACATTAAGGAAAACAAAAGGTGGCTGTTCTTGCCTCACTCTCCTTGCCTTTCTCTGGCCACAGGCTTACAACTGGCCCTCGGTCCATCACTTTTATAACATCGCTCATGTTGATGCATTTTTTCAGTTCAATCAGTTTTTCCATCCAGTAAATATCAGTCATCCCATGATCAGAAAAAAGAACAACATTCAAATCATTCTGCAAATCCTTGTCCTGTCAAGAGAGTTAAGAAAATAATTACAGCATGAAAACAACAACATTTGCTTTCTCCTTTTCAGGTAACAATTTCACTAAGAGCTGAAATGCTGCTGCTAGGTGAACATGCATAGTAGGCCAGCTACCTTGCCAGCATTCAAAAAGATGGTGTCAAAAGCCTGAATGTTCTTGACTTGATCTGAAGATTTAAGCTGAAATCAGAGGGATGCTAGGCTTCCAAAACATGAAGCAAAGTTTTCTCCCAGCCTTACTCGGTTGTCCAAATACAAGGAGGCAAAGAGAAACTGTTCCCCCACCATTTTGTTTGGCAGCTCCTTATATTAAAGTTGTTAGAAGAATTAGTAGAAGGCTACATTTGGTTGAAACTCTATCATTTCCTACAATTAAGCATCCCCAGGTAACAGAGAAGTTGGGCACTAAACTTGTGATTCTGGAAAGTTGAGGATCTTCATGCAGGGTCTTTTAACATGAAAGAAGTAGCACATGCCAGCAGATAACCTTTACTCTACTACTAGATTTTTGGGATGTTCCATGTTCCCCTTTTCCAACTTAGTTATTTGGGGTAATGGACCCTGTGTCTACCCTAACAAAGCAAAACTAGCATGTCTAGCAAAACATGGATCTCACCACCCTCTGATACCAGGCCTGCTTTTGCATGCACATCACTGAGTAGTATAGCCTGTGGTACAGAAGGAGTATATACATTTTGTGATACCATAATCACTTCACGTATATGAAGGCCCTTCCCAAAGTCAAAATCTCATGCTTCAATGAAGGAGTGCCAAAATCTCATGTGAAGGAACACTTACAAAAGTTCAGCAAAAAATATTCTGAGAGTGGGATCTAATGGAGATTCACTGGCTTGGGAAAAGTTCCCCAGTCTGGGTATATACATCCTGGGATGTGCATGTTCATTACCATTCAGAACAGGAGCACTGATACATGCATACATGTATAGTTGAGTAACCTATGAAGCAGAATTTACTGAATAGTTGCAAATATTTAATAAAAATACAGAACAGAGTAAGAGAAACATCTTTAAAAGGATATTGTAGCTTCCAAGTGACAGCAACCTTGATAAGCTTAGACATCCTGAGCAATACGTTATCCACAGCTTTTACAGCATTCTTCCTCTGACGAGATGAAGGGCCAAAATGATGACCTTCTACATCAATCCGTTCATAGTATATGGCTGCCATATCTGCTGCACCTTTGCTGTAATAGGAACATCACCGCCAAAGAATTAAGTGTAACATAAGCTTACTTCTAGAATCCCTTTCCAATTTGATGGGCAGACTGAGATTTTTTTCCTGCTACCTTGGCCATGTTTTCTAAGGGAAAAGCCAGCAAGGAGACCCCTTGTTCTATTAAATCTTATGTTATTTTCTGTCTAAAATAAGCTTAGATGGACATCCCAGCTCTAACCACACCACTCCTTCCCCACTTCCTCATTGGTTGATTGTCATTGTTATTCCCATGTGTCATTCTTTTAAATCAGGTGTGAAGAATCCATTGTCCTACAGAAGTGATTGAGCTTTAACTGCCAACATTCCTCTCTTTGGGCCTGCTGGAGGAGGTTGCCAAGAGTTATAATTTAAGCATTTTTTGGATCAGAGTTTTCTCATCAGTACTCTAAACTTCTTATAGATTTTTCAAAGTTCCTGATTCTGCGGGTTCGTGTAGGTGAGACCTTGCTTAGACTCTTTTCTGATGTTCAGATGAATTTAGCATTGGGGAAGGAAGAACCTGCTTCAGGAGGCTACTTCCACTCCCCATCTTGCAGACCTAAACACACTGTTATGGCATTTCTTGAATATTTAAATGAAGTTCTTGTCAAAGTCAGATCTGGAAAGTTACAGGATATTCATGATTAGGTCTCCAATCATGGATATCATTTACTTTCTAAAAGCAGTCCAGGGAATAGAAAAGGTAAACCATATCACTGAAACCTTTTCCTTTGCACCAATTTCTTCATCTTCACCATTCCTCCTGTCCTGTTTGGTTCATGGAGGAAAGCATTCAAGACAAATACAGCATATGCAAACTTCAGAAACTTGTACAGGGCAGATTTTGTTTTAACTTCAGTGTATTCAGTACATTATATGAAAGGTTAAAAAGCAACCTGGAAGTGGAGGATGGTTTCTCCCTGTCTCCTCTAATCAACCTTTAGTTTCAAGTAAGTGTATGGAGTAAAGTCCTGTCTGATTATGTCTTTAACTTGGGGGAGCTTCTGGTGTCTCCCTTATCATGGTAAGATGATGCCCTGATTTCCATGGGATTCTCTAGTACCACTATCCACTGCAGAGAGGCTGAATCTATTGGACTGGTCCGCCCTTGGTGACTGATGGACCTGGATGGGTTTCAGAGGAAGCTGGGGGCTGTTTCTGTTGGTCTGCTGCATGGCCATTCAAAGCCTAGGTTGCTACTTGGAACAAGGGGGCGGCTGAGGTGTTGGATTGGACTGTGCCGATGTGACCTCTCCCCACTTGGGGATCCCGTCACTCCCTGTGGTTTACAGAAGAATTGAGGGAGATAAAATGAGAGAAGAGACATCCAGGGCGCCGCTGGCACTCAACCATCTAGAGTGTCTAAAGCGTCACTAGCCCTCGACCAAACACAGGTTAGGGATGCTATAAAGGCCTACTTTGTGGCGATAAGGGTGGCAAAGTGGCAGTATTTCTCTGCCCTTATTGTATCTGCATATTGCTGCCCCGCAGCCCTGTTTCAGGTGACAGGAGTCCTCTTGGGTAATGGGTACCCAGGGAACTTTTTGCAGGGGTGTGCAGAGGAATTTTCTCAGCATTTGTCAGACAAAATCACTCAGATTCACTTGTAGTTGGATGCCTGTTTTGTGGCAGGTCCAGAGAAGATTTGCCTGGTTATCTGGGACGGTTTGAATCTGCTGGACCTGAGGAAGTGGACGTGGTCCTTTGACTGTGAGCTCAACCACCTGCTCTTTAGATCCACACCACTCCTGGCTTGTGGAAGTAGCCCGGGGGGTGTCATGTGACTGTGTTCTAGTGTGGTTAATTCTTCTTTGAGTGAGGGAGGTCTTGGTTTGCTCCTACCCACCACTAGACCCCACTATACTGGACAATTTTCGTCCAGTATTTAATCTCCCCTTTGGGGTGAAGGTGGTTAAGAACGTGGTTGCACAACAGCTTCAGAGGACCTTGGATGAAGCGGATTATCTGGTTCCATTTCAGCCAGGATTCAGATCCAGGTATGGGATGGAAACGGCATTGGTCGCACTTTTGGATGATCTCTGGCATGGGTGGGATGGGGGTTGTGACCTCTCAGCACCTTTTGATACCATCGACCATGGTATGGTTTTAATTAATCTCTATTTTTTATTGTTGACTTTTATATCTTTATTGTTTGTTTTTATATATCCATTGTTTTATCTGACTATTGTACACTACCCAGAGTCACTTCTTGTGAGATGGGCGGCTATATAAATTTGATTAATAAATAAATACATACATGCATACATACATAAACCTCCAAAAATAGAACAATAGTACCTGAAAATACTATTGTTCTATAGGGATCAAAGTAATACGTAAGGAAATGTTTCAAGAGGTAAATGTTAACAGTACGGTGCTTACAGAAAACATGACTATTGCATACTGATTTGCCTTTTCTTAAAAGTACTAAATAAAGCAACATACATTAATTGTCCTTTGGCATTTTTTACAATGGCATTGAGGAACATTTCTTTGCAAGTACAGGGAGTCCCCGGGTTAAGAACGCCTGGGTTACAGACGACCATAGTGAAGAATGGAGCCTACTGTAGCAAAATTTTAGTTAAATACACAATGGTTTGAGTTAATTACACAATGTTACTCATACAATATTATACAACAATACTGTTCCAGCTTACATACAAATTTGACTTAAGGACAGACCTTAGGAATGGAACTTGTTCTTAAACTGGGGACTACCTGTACAAGGCAATAAGTTAGCAATATTGTGCAACATTTGTGATTCATAATCTTGAAGTAACGCTTTCTAAGGTGAAATTCCAGGCAAAAAAATTAATGTTTTAACCAAAATGTTTGAGTTCACACAAAAGCTTGAATAAGTCTTACATGCAGAGCACGTCCTATCATTAGGCAAAGGGAGGCAATGGCCTCATTTAACAAATCCACAGCACAATGTAACCCCTGTGATTTTCCTCTATTGGAGCCAAACTCCACATATCTGCAGCTACTTTATTTTCAAGTCACTGTTCAGATATCAAGAACCGAGGCTTCCTATCCTAATTAGAGACCTCTATCAGTTTTTGAGTGAAATTTTTCTCCTTCTGTGGATGCTATTCACCTCAAAAATGCAGCTGCAACTGGAAATAGCATGTTTGAAAGCAAATCCTGCAGAAGAGATTTTCAGCATAGTGTCCTAATCCAGACCAGAAGCATGTTTTCAATTAAAGTCCCACTACTGTTGTTTCTCCAAAATAAAACCAGCAGTTTCAACATGAGTTATATGATGTCTGATTTGGTCTGACAGTGATGTTGTTATCCAATTTTCAGTCCCCTAGTAGTCCTTTATAATTGTTCATATGCAACTCATACTGGATCAACTTACACCTCTGTTTCCCAATGTCCATATGTTGGCTGGGTACATTAGCATATTAAATACGTTTTGCAAAGCTTCACAAGAACAGTGGCTTTGTCATGTAAACATAGCAGGAACAGCTGACATTGTCAACAGGTTGTGTTTCCGGGAGCTGCAGGTAATTATTAGTAGATACTAAATCATATAACCTTGCTGAGAGATAGGTACAGGCTAAAAGGAGGAATTTCTTAAGCTCCATTGTGAATTAAACTAGTCTGACAACATAAGAACTTTATAGCTCTATGTTAGAAATATATATCATCTATCTCTCTGTCTCTGACTCTGACTCTATCATCTATCATTTATCTTCTATCTATCCTCCATCCATCCATCCATCCATCCATCCATCTCTCTCCACCAATTGGATGGTAATATTGTTTGCTAGAGATCTGGTTCTGTTCTAAGGACCTTCTGATATATTAACATGCAGCTTGATCCTTATTAAGTTGCCTATTGATGCCTGTTCATACAGTAGTGGTGAAACTGAGGTCTGAAAGTGTTACTTTCAGTAGCACATGCAGTGTATGTGTGTGTCAAAATTGGCAAGAAGGTGGAAACAGCATCATTATGCAAGCCCACCACTTTTGAATGTGTGAGACTTATGTTCAACAGACAGGGGGCTTGCATTACAACCTTCCATCTACCCCTTTGCCAGTTTGGACATACCCCTACAAATCCTGCTGGCTACTCTATTCATACAAAAGCTTCCAGAACATATACTCATTCTTTCACATGTCCCCATATTTGCTTACATTTGTCTTCTGCCTCCATTTTCTTTTCCATTGTATTATCTGCTTTATCATATGCCCTTATGTTAAATACAGTGATTAAATAGGACTCTCCATGTGGAGTTATTGATAAACACCTAATGAAATGAACTATATTGACTGTTTCAGTTACTTTTTTGTATATCAAACTAGCTTTTAGAATATTAATACTGGAAAAGCTATGGTTTAAATATCAGGTGGATTTCCCTAAAAGCAAGGATTCAACTTCTCCTTAGCTGTAGCAATTAAAATCTACTGTGAAGTCCTTTGAATACCTTGTAAAAATCAGGGAATAAAACAGAACGATGCACAATTATATCTTGTCCAGATGCATTCCTAATTGTTCTATCCAGTAGTAAACATTTTAAATGAATAAAAACCTATTTGGGGTATATTTTGAAATCAGATAAACAGCGGTCATAGATATGGTGAAATTCAATCATGTTATTTCGGGGTATTGTGGTCTTTATTGTTTTCCAGAATGGTAAATCGTTGATATGTTTTGTTCTTTTCCTATGGGCAAGGAACTGAAATTTGTTTACTCAATTTTATAATATTTTCCCTATACTGTACCCTCTTTTTATCTTTTTTACATTATTTAAATTAATTTTTTCTTCAACCCCCAAGTAATACTATATGGAAAACTTAGATTATTTTGTGTTATTATCAGTTGGTACAACAAGAGAAAATATTTTAATTTTCCTGTTAAGGACATCATTAAAATGGTTTGGTGACTTTACCTTAAAGATTCAATGGCATTATTTACAGCATCGGAGAAATTCGCATCTGTTGGAACATTTTCATATGGTATACAATAGTTAGGTTTGACTCCAAGGATTTCAACTTCACAGCCTAAGAAGAAACATTTCATTAGTTAAACTTCACTTAAACTTTAAATCCAGATTTAAATGTATCATACAAATTCAGGATGTTTACTGGAGGGATTTTGGGTCTCAGAGTGAAAGTTTATTTACACAGGTGTTGGGTTTTTTTTAAAAAAAAGGATAGGAATGAATCAGAATATAAGAATTTCATACTAAAATCATCAGTGCAAATATTCACACTGAAAGCTAGCAATTGATAATAAATTGACAATAAAATCTATGTGTCTGCTTGTGTACATATGTGCGCGTATGTCTGTAAATAAAAAATCTATAATGAAACTCCATTTTTCATGAATTGGTCCTTATCTGAATTATTATCATTGAACTAAATAAAAGCTTAGAATTAATGAATTAGTTAATTAATTGCAGGTATCTCAAACTTCCAAGATGAAAATACTAATTCCAGTATCCTCACTCAAAGATGGCAGCATCTGCAGGAGGTCCCTGCAGCCCAGTACAACAGAAGTCCCTCTGAGACATGTATGGAACGTCATGAGGCATGTAGAAAACAGCCAGATGTTGCATTGCAGCACTGCTTTTGTCAGCCTGACCCTCCCCCCCCTTTGCCCCATGTTAGATGCTGCTGGAGGAGTAGCTGAACCTGAACAGCTGGCCAGGGAGAAACAGGCCACCAGTTGTCACCTGCTTATGGTGGTAGGAATCAAATGAACTTCTTAGGGACACTGGGAAGAAAAGAGACACTAGCTGCTTTCTCTTTTTCAGGATCTCCTTCATCAAGATGTCTGGTTTCCCCCTGCCTTCTCGAACAGGTTCACTGCAAAGTATATATATGGGTAATGTGTGCGCATGCACGCACACACGCGCACACACAATCTTTGTCCTCAACTTTCTGGATGATCTCTAACAATTTCTGCTTTCTATTAGAAGTAAACTAATGTTATTTGACAACATTGGTTGGAATTCAAAAATTAACTAAGTTAAAGAACGGCTTTACCCAGTTCACTCCTTTTTGTAAAACTAGTATATTAAACTGTTGTCTCTATTTCCCCACACAGTCTTCTTAAAGCTGTTTGAACCAATCACTTTCTGACACCACAATTCTTTTTCAACAGATATGTTATATTGAGACTTAGAAACTAGCAGCAACAATTCCCAAAGGAAAACATCAACTATGGATAAGGAGAACCACCATATTAATATTTATTGGTGCTCTACTCAGCATAAAAAATAAAATAATTTAATTTTTAATAATTCAGATCGTCTGAAATCATAGCGTCGTGATAATTATTTCCATGGTACACACACAGATAAGATGGAATGAGGGAAAATACAGAAAGTTGTATAAACAGGATGGATTTCCTAAATTGGGGCAATTTGCTTCCTCCTTTGAGGGTAGCAAATATCCTTCAATCAAAGGTTGAAAAGATGATGGTTACAGTAAAGAAACGATAGGTTTCTGGAAATCTCATACCAAATAATAATGTAGATGCTGTCTCTCATTTTTGTTCCAGTGGTTGAAGGCTGCAGAGGACATAGTGAATTCAGAACATGTTATGAAATGTATGGGCTAAACAGTGTTTCTCAACCTTGATAATTTTAAGATATGTGCACTTCAACTCTCAGAATTCCCCAGCCAGCATGCTGGCTGGGGAATTCTGGGAGTTGAAGTCCATATATCTTAAAGTCGCTAAGGTTGAGAAACCCTGGGCTAAGGCAATGTTTTCATTTTAACAACATTAGGTCTTGACAGCCTTTCCTTAGCAAATCACATATACCACAGCTTTCTTCTTTAGCGAATCGATTTACCTAAATTCCTCAGTATAAATCAATACAGTCTAAATTATGTAAAGCGATACTTTGTAGAGAATCTTAATAAACAACTTCTAGTATACAAGCCTCATGGCAAATATTTAAGGCCCATATGACAAAGGCAATACAAACCAAACGGTACTGTGTGGGTAAATATGACAGAGTTTAGGCTATGGTTTCTTTGTTTGGAGGGTCAAGGTGCTAGATTAGAGGGAAGAATAAATAACTATCCAGAAAGAAATAGGGCTTTTTTCCTATCTGATGAAGAAGTGGAGAGTCAGAAGCTGCTCCTTAGACCAATTTAGAACTACCACCATTTTCCTGGCTGATTATTCTCCATTTTACCAACTACAATTGATGTCCTTGATACAGAGTCCAAAAGGGCTCTGATTCATCCTAGATTTGGCTATGCAGCACGATGCGGCCAGAGTTGGTGGGGGAAAGAATGCCAGCTTAATTGATTTGAGATCTGGCTGGAAAAGCTTACAGAAGAAGGGTTGGGGCATAAAATAATGATTTCTTTGCTAAATCAGCAAAGAAGTTGTTTCTCAAAAATGAAGTCTTCTATATCTCACAGTATTGGGCCTTCCTGTCTATTTTCCATGAAAAAAACCTGTTGCAAGGTGATAATCATGTAACAGAGCTGATTTGATTATTAGTTATACTCAGATTTCAGCTGTAGCATTGAAGCAATAGGCTTTAGATATTTATACTGACTCTTACATTGCTTTTTCGGAGCCCAGGCTGAATCTAGCATTTAAAAAAATAGTTATTTCAAATACAGATCCTGAAGTGCATTTTGCAGGACAGCTTCTCAGACACAACTCCCCACCTGCAATTTGAAAAAGCTCTCATCTAGATCCAGATGATCAGCTGTTCAAAATATTTCAAGACCAAAGTTGCATCATCTTGAATTATACTGTACAATTTCATCTGAATAATTTCACCTTTTGAAAAAAAAAAAAGCTGTTCCATTTCTCTCATCTTAAAATGAAATGCACGTTTTTTGCATCTTTATAGATTTGACACTGAGACCTGAATGATGCTCTCATCATTTTCAAATTATATGTATAAACAGTAGTTTAATAGCTGGGTGCTGAATGATATAACTGAAACCTTTTAAACCTTCCCAGACCTGTGCAGAAAGTCTGGGAAGTGTGTGTGTGTGTGTGTGTGTAGAGAGAGAGAGAAGGAATGAAATAGTGAGCAGTGTTTCATTTCTTTCTTTTTTACTTTATTCCCATTGAAGTAGGGACAAAAAATTAATTCAGGGACATCCACACAGGGAGGGGTGGATGTACCATGTGATCATGGCAGATGTACCAAGATGGTGGAAGTACCACGTGATCAAAGTTCCACCCCTGTTTTACATAAATCATGTCACATGTAGGACACACAGGGCTTCAATCAGGTGGGTAGGGCTATCATCTGAACCTTTTTTTGACACAACCTGCACATGCCACTGGTTTAACTTCAGCTGAACTAAGTACATCCATACTTTTAGAACCTAAGTGACTGCATAGTCATTTGTAAATATGAGATTAAAAAATTAACCCTAGGAGAAAAAGCATATCTTTTAATCCCATTTTAGTAACTACAGTGTTTGCACTGTTCCAAATAAGGGCCCATATGGCAAATGCTGGATTTGTCCTATGACTTGAAATCCCATATATTTTCAAGCTAAGGTGTAGCAAATTCTCTAGATTGCAAGTGGGGGACATTTATGAATAATTTGTTTCGTAAATGCCCCCTACTTGCAATCTGAAAAACTTTGCATGCCTTGCTAATATGACCTTCTTTACTCTGCCTAAACATACCTCTTGTTGTGTTCAGCCACAGTCCCATCTTCAGCTACTGTAAGTGTGAGCATTGTGCTATTTATACATTGTTGTAGCAGCTCCACAAACGTGTAAATTTTAAGTTAAGGAATGTTCTCTTGCATACCCACATAGCCTGAATAGTAAAATATAAAACTGTTGTACGTCTATGGACTTCTGTTCCCAGAGATTCAGTAGGTTTTGAGCCTCAAGAATGTGCTAGATGGACATTGTTTTGGCTGCTGCGAAATACTTTAATTAAACTTGGTACAAATTATTTCCAAAGGTAATAATAATTATTTTTTATCACTACTACATAGGCAGAGCTGTTGGACACAATGGTTTAAGTACAATATTTAGGAGCAAACTTCTTTTAAAAGGAATAATTTGTTAAACTAGTACATGTTAAACTTCATTTATTTACAATTATCCATGTTTTAATATTACCCATATTCAAATGCAAAGAACTTTTTCTGCATTATTCTACACTAGTTTTAATACAGATAATATAAACTAATAATCAAATCATCATTTGAGAATTATCATCAAAAGATACTATATTTGGATGGAGGTGAGGAATATGGAGAGCAAGAGCTAGAGGAGTACAAGCCTGTCCTATTTAAGAAAGGAAGACTGGGTTGACTTGTTTCTCTGCTTATCAAAACTGAGCAAATGTCAGCTTGTATTGTCCTTTTATTTATTATTTATTTTGGCCTATTTCCTGCTGAGACACAATCCTTTGTGTTGAATTTCTTGATCTAATAATTGTATAAAGGGGGACACAGGAGGCTGCACGTATGTGAGCACCATCTGATAATTTGAATTTATACCATATTGTACATAAGGAGACAGGACTAAGCACATACACAGGAGATAACCTGAACTGTCGTAGAACCTGAATGGGTCAACAACAGTATTATTGACTTACTCTACTGTATAGGGATATGCCAGCACCAAGTTTGGCACTTATATTGAATTGCATACATAGGTACAATGCAACAATTAACTAAGATAGCTACAACAGCAGATGTTTCCTCCAAGGGAAAAGGAAAGAAGGGTGGGTTTGAACTTGTCCTCCCCTATAACTTCCTGCAGCCTTCTCCCAAACTGCTGTAGAAGGTCCCCAAACTGTTCAAGTGGAATTGAAAGGAGGGGGGATCTTTTACGTTGCAGGAAGTAAAGGAACAGCAGCAAATTATTCTCCTTTCTTCCCTCCAATGAAAGGTTTCTGCTGGCACAGGAAATCTAGTTGGATTCCACTCAAAGCCTATAATCTGACACATACATTAGAGTTTTGCTGACAGTTTCCTATGTGGTATTCCCCTATAGAAGCTACTATTGAAACACAAAAGTAATTCAGAAAGGCTTTCAGTCAGCTGGGAAGAACTCTAAAGTGCCTCTAGGCTATAGGGAACACAAAGACTTCATAGAAATTAATCACTTACCTTCCCTCTCTCCCTTTAGACTTTTGTTTTCTTTTGTTTTTTGCATAGGGCTTATTGTCATGCATAACAGTCATAAGTAATGCCATCTATTTCTCTTATTTGAAATTGTATTGCAAAATATCTGTCAAAATCAGTATGGTCTTTACACTGTGAGTACAGTTAACCCCAAACATAGTCATGGAAGGATGATTACACCACGCCATCTACAACCTGCCTCTAGGACTCAGAAGGATAGAACACTTATTCCCGTTCTTGAACCAATCCTCAGTATAACATTATGAAGTATAAATTGTCAAGAAAAAAGTCTTACGCTTGGATATCTCAGGATTTTTAAAGCAGACCTTCCTTTATGTTAAACTTCAAGCAATTTGACCTACATTTAAACATGTTTATTAATCATTTTAAACAATGCCTTCAATGTACTTTACAAATACAACAAAGAGAATAGCATCAGGAGAAGTATATGTAATGAGCAAAATTACTCAGTTTGCAAATAAGTCTGTAGGGTTAGCCTCCATGGTTGAGGGCTAAAGGATCAAAATAGCTTTACCCAACCTGTTATCCTCCAGAGTAGTTGGAAGACAACTCCATAAGTTCCACAATCCTCCATTGGCAAAACCATGCTGACTAGGGAATTATGAGAATTGAAGTCCAATATTCTGGAGGCCATGAACAAATGAACTGTTGGATTGAAGTAAAACACTTCACAGCAAATATGGATTTTTCTGTATATGGATCACTGAATACTAACCGTCTGTATACCTTAAATACAAATATTTGCATTCAGAAAAGAGAAACATGCATGCAGCAGCTTTCTTCCAGGCACCCTAAGCAGATGTTGGAGGCTTGTACACAAAAGATGTTGTACTTCTGGTTTTTCTCCTGAGTACACCTTCTGCTCTGTCAACTGACCTTTTTCTTTTGAAAAAAAAAGTTTTTTCAAGCATGATTTTGGGAACAACACTGGGCTAAATGTTCCCATGACCTCCCTTCCTTTTCTTGCAAACAGCTGAAGAGAGGCCTCAGTTATAACCTTATATTATAGAGAACATGCAATATTTGTCAACAACTAAAGAGAATTTGGCAGTACTAACCAGGCCAATAGTACATAGAGACTCTCCTCTTGGCTTTTGTCATTGTGACCCACAAGGGCTCTGATCCATCCCACCAAAGAGGCAGGAGGCTCTCTTGGTTCATGCCAATGTCAAAAGATACATTTGTCACTGGGTCCCACATGTAGTTTCCAGTCATTTGATGGACCTCGCAGTGACGACCTGGAAGAGAAAAGAGTTGCTTTATACTAGTCCCTTACTGCTTGGCATGCCATAAAAAAGCATATAAGGTACAAAGAGCAATTATAGTAGGGTTTTCATTTGCAGTGCAAACCTGGTTTAACATTTATTCATTATCAGCTACATGGAATTCCAGTGAAGTAAATCAGTTAACAACTTTACCTTTCTCTTAATTATAAGTTATTTGCCTTAAAAAAAAAAAACACGTTTATGCCATGTCATCTGTATGCTTATATTTTATTCCCATTTTCCAACCCACAAATTTTAGGGTCTTCCATTGAACCTAAAAGCAGCAGGTTGTTGAGATGGAACAGCCTGTGTGGTGCTCATAGGAAAGAGTCTTCAGGAAGATGCTACTACTGTTGCTCAATAAATGACTCCAGATCTTTATTTATAGATTTATTAGATTTAAACATTCCCCATAGAAACTCAGGTTAGATAGCATTTCCTCTTTCCATTTTACTCCATAGCCCAAACTGTGTATGAGGTAGGTTATGCTGGGAAAGAATCACTGGTCCAGTTGTCCAACAAACCTGTCCACCTGGGAGAGGACTTGAACCTGCTGTTAGCTGCCCAGAGTCACCATGGTGAGATGGGTGGCCATATCAGCTGCATAAGTAAATCAGTAAATCGACCTGCGTCCCCTCAAGTCTAACACTTTAACTACTACACCACGCTAGCTATAGCTTTAAGCTGCTGCTGTTTTGCTAGGTGAATCAGCTCTTCTTAACTGAATGACCAAACAGGCTTTTACTACACTTAAAACATTTGTAAAATAGAAAACAAAGATCAGTCAGGGGTATTCAGGCTGCTATGTGTTTTCTCTTGCAAATTCAATGAAGCAGGAAGTTACCCAACTTAGGGCTATTTTTCTTATATCTTCAGCAGTTTAAAATATGGTTTATAATGCTCTTTGTTCTGCAGGTATATTTTAACTACTCTTATTGAACTGAATTAATCTACTACCTAGTCAATTTCTCCATGCAGAACATTTTATGCACTGTATGTGTCGTGGGCAGAGCCAGTTTGGTATAGTAGTTAAGGCATCAGGCTAGAAACCAGGAGGCCATGGGTTCTAGTCCTGCCTTAGGCACAGCCAGCTGAGTGACCTTGGGCCAGTCACTCTCTCTCAGCCCTAGGAAGCAGGCAATGGCAAACCACTTCTGAAATCTTGCCCAAAAAAAAAAAAAAAAACTGCAGGGACTTGTCCAGGCAGTTGCCAGGAGTCAACACTGACTCAAAGGCACACACGTGCACACACGTCTGTCATGGGATGTTCAGGCTCAAGCTCTTGCTCTACAGAGTACAACATCCCAGGAAGGCAGGCATTTGCACGGAAGTGTATCCCTCCCTCATTCAATTTACTGAAACATTGACAGAAAAATGTCACACAAAACAGTCATCATCCCATAATTATTTCAGACGTTATATAATATTTAGGACCATGGCCTTAATTATTTTAAAAGAATTCCATTTAGAAAACTCCCTCACTCCCTCCTTCACGTCCTTGCCATCTCCACAACAAGCCACAGGAGCAAATGCAGGCAGCAGAGACGCTCCTCCTTTCCCCAAGAGGGAAATCTCCTAGCACAGCTACTGGATCTGAGCAGCCCGAGCCTGGAGGCCCACTCAGCCTCAACAGTGGCTCCTATTTCTATGCTGCTCCTTGGATTTTTGCAGCCCTACATATGTCTAACAAGAACATGGGCCACTTCCTGAATATCTTGATAATTACCAAGCTTTTATGAAATAAAATGCTCTGAAGAAAAACATATGCCAACATGCCAAAGGAAGCCCACAACCCCAAACACAGACTGAGCACCATTTAAGAAACAGCAATTTCTTGATTAGCTGCTGTATTTGTTTTGGTTAAAAAATTCTTGAAGCAATGGGGAAAATCCCTCAGAAACGTAATTTCTCATATTTTGATAATTACTGACCAAAAGAAAAAACATATTTCAGTAGAGATCATAATATCAAAATTGCAGCATAATGGCTGAAAAACTGATAATAAGCAATAAAGCAATAAAGCAAGAAGCAATAAAGAATCTCCAATTCACAGTTTAATTCAAATTAGAACACAGTTTTTAAATATTGTATTTACAAGTAGTCCTCGCTTAATGACCAGAATTGGGACCAGAATTTAGGTCACTAAGTGATGTAGCCATTAAGTGAATCATCATGTGACCAGATCCGATTTTACAACCTTTTTTGGGGTGGTCATTAAGTGAATCACTGTGGTTGTTAAGCAAATCACATGGTCATTAAGCAAATCCTGTGGTTCCCCGTTGATTTTACTTACTGGAAGCCATCTGCAAAGGTTGCAAATGGCAATCACGTGACTCTGGGATGCTGCAACCGTCGCAAGTGCGAGCTGGTTGCCAAGCGCCCAGATCGTGATCCCATGAACATGGGGGCACTACAATGGGCATAACTTCAGGCACTGGTCATAAGTCACTTTTTTTAGCACTGTCAAAACTTCAAATGGTCGCTAAATGAATGGTTGTTAAGCAAGAACTACCTGTATACTATTTCACCATGTTAACGAAGTGTTTCATAATAAATTACTTCCATCTATGCAAATGTGTGCCTGGATAGAATTGTTGAAATTTAAAATCATGAAATTTCTCCTTGATTAATATGCATTTGGTTTTTGTTTGTCTTTGCCTTCAACTTTCCTAGTCTGTATTTTCTTTTGTTTATGTCTGAAGACTTTTCAATTAAAAAATAATAATAATAAAGGGAAACCTTTGTCCACGGTAGAAACAGACTGATTCAAGTCAGTAGGAGATATATTCTTCTTCATTAATGATGAACTTATGGCATCAATTTGATAATGTGTTAGCAAATTTCCTTTGCCTTCATTTCTTTGCTATCACTTTGTTCCCCAAGACTACTTGTCGAGTCATCCCGGCAGGAACAAAATTATCTGTTGGAAGGATTCATTTGTGAGAAAGTGCTGCCCTGCAACTTGAGTATTTCTAGATAAGAACCAGCACTTTCAGCCAAACTCAGCAGCAAACAGAGAACCCTGAAATGGAAAGATGGTCAGTTGTATTTTCTCAATCGTGTAGGCCAAGGTGCAATTTCTGAACAATTTGCAAGGACAGCACATAAAGTACATTTGTTTCCCACACCCATGATAATAATGTTAATATGTAATTAAATAAGAACAATGCAAAGAGCTTAGGCAGATGCCAGGGAGTCAGAAACACTCCGTCTGCTATGAAAACATTCTCTTTGCAACTGCAAATACCCAGATCTCAGAAACATGGCAGCTTAAATGGCTTCCTGAAAGGGTACCACCAAATCCATCTGCCCTCAAACTAAGGGCAGCTGTTATGGTTTATGGGGGTTTGCTTATCTCCATGCAGCAGTCTCTTCCACGCTAGCAGGTTGTTGGGGGGGGGTTGCAAATAAAAATCTATGCAGTAGATGAACTTTAAAAATAGCACATGGGATTTTCTATGCAAAATAAACAATACAGCAATAATTATGGGCTGCTTCACGGGCTAACTTGCTGAATTAAACTGCCTCTACTTTAGCTTAGTGTTTACGGGGAAGAAAAGGTTGTATGGGAATAAACCAATGCAATAACAGTGCTTAATTGTCCTGCCGTTGTTGTATTTGTAACCTTGACTGCTCCGCTTTCCTAGCGCATTGACCTGATTGTGGGTCTTTTGAAATAATCCTGCTGCACATCATGGCTAGAGTCTGAGAGCCAGCTGTGTGTGAGGTTATTGAACTGGGGTCAGTATTTCTGCACCTTCAGATGATATTTTATCATCAAGGCCTGTGGCTTAAACATTTAGACCTGCAGGAACCAGGATCAGCCAATCTATGCTCCAAAAATCTGGAGGGCAGCAAAAAGATACTTAGTTGTATCTCTTTGGGTGCCATCAAGTGAGTGTCAGGATTTCTGCATTTCAGGCCTGGTGGCTCTCTCTTTTGCTTTCTTTTTGGCCAGGAACTAGGCTGCAGCCTTCTTGTACTGATTAAGTTTTCAGGGCAAAGATTTTGGATTTCAGATATTTAGATCTTTAACTCCCATCAGCCCAAGCTAGGGTGGCCAACAGCAAAGGATTGTCCAAAACATACGGAGGACACCATTTGTCTGTCTCTTTTATAGATACTACACCCAGTTTCCACATATTGTACTAACTACCCTGCTCAGTGCAGTTTTCTCTTACATCTCCTAACCCAGATCTGAATCACCATTGTTTGTTTGGATGGAAGGAAGGTGTGATGTTCAAGTTGCGCTTCTTCCAAATCTTTCAAGCATTTACAGCTCTAGTGCAGCTTCTTGTATAAGACTTAACACTCCCAGAGAATAGTGAACTCTTTTGTGTAAAGCAGACTACAAAGATACAGTAATCAAGGTGATACAATTTGACCATGTCTTATTACAGTTCACATACTGTATGCTTTCACAACAGCTTACTCTAGAATGTGTTAAAAGAAAACTCACAGAGACAAACTTTCCAGCTAGACCTTCAAATTATCACCCAATCTTATCCAAGTTCATCAACAACAGACCTTTCATTATCTTAGAAAAGTACTTTTGCACTTTTCCCTGCTGTTAAAACCTTCCTGATTACAGTTCATTGCTTTTGACAAGCCTTACATGCCAAGGAGTTCCTGTCTTGAAGCATCAGTCAACCTAGATGTAATGCAGTTTAGGTAAAGAGCTGTTGGCCCCTTATGGAAAAGAGGGGAAAAACTAAACATATTATTTTCTGTTCAATGCTTCAAGTCTCTGGATATTGCCAGTGTTATTTAAAAAGCTTTTTTAAAATTTGCTCTTTCTTTACCTGATATGATAATCTACTGCAGTAATGAGGAGGAAAAATACTGCAAACTGTAGGAAACCAGTGAAATAGATGGAATGAATGAAATAATGAAATACTGGAAGTTTTGATTCAGGATAATGCTACCCTTGTGTACCATTAAGGACAATCTTAAGCTGCAGTCACACACTGTAATTAATCATGTTCTGTTTTAACCATTGTATCTTCAATAAACCACAATTGGCTAGGTTAGCAGTAAGCAAGGCAACATTGTTCATAAGATTTTAATTTTTTTTTTTGCCAGATTTTTAAAAATGTTTTCTAAAAGCCTAAATTAAGAATTAAACTACATTCGTTTAAGGCTTCACACCTTAACATTGCAGAAAAATGCACTTTTGATTTTCAGATCTGCAGTGAAACCTGCAGATTTTCCACTCTGATATTCCATAGTTTACACATCGCATTGCCTAGGTTCACACAACAAAATAGGTCAGAACCAAACAAATGACACCATAATGTGTTGAGTCAGCATTGGATCACTATAAACCAACCTCAAGTTTCAGAACTTTTAAGAAAGAAATCTGTTGAGGATGCCTGTGTTTTCAAGAACCAATTCAGGGTTATGTTCACTGTCCTAGGATCCTGGGATTTCTAGATCTAAATCAGGGGTCTTAACTTGGTTTCAAAGGGTTCATAAACTTTGAAATACAATTTTATTTTCACTAACCTCTAACTGAAATTTAGCTTTTCATTCAACAACATATATAAGCAATATACTTCCATTTTAAGCAGTTTTGGAAATGTGTTTTGATAATCTGCAGATATTTTTTCTATTAACTCTTTGTGAACTTGTTCTAACTTTTCTAAGAACTTCCAGACTTTAGGATTTTCAGAGTAGGACCAATGTCAGGATTAACTTCATTATAATCCAGGGACATACTAAAGGGCTTTTTGAAAAACTCTTGACAAAATAGAAACCAGCCTTTTATTACTTCCTCACCTGGGTGCCAATCCAGCAATCAAGCAGTTGGCAAGGCAATAGGTAATTCTGAGAGATAAAGTTCTCACACATCTGGAGAAGACAGGCAGAGGAGAGTTGAACTAGGAGCTAGGTTACTTGCATTAATATTCTTCTAACAGAGCATTATTTTGTCTGTTGAACTTTCACCACTGCCATTACCGATCACCACCATCATTATCTAGCCTTCAGAAATGAACAAGCTGTGTATTGTGGACAGCTGCTTGGAAGCAACCCTCTTTCAGGAAAAGTGGGACTGGATTCTCAAGAAGCAGTCATAAAACTGGGCAGAACATGTGGGCATGTTCTACTATGCAATACCATAATTGACTTTGGAAGAAACCATTGCTCTTGCAGACAAGCCAGAATCAGAAAATAGTAAGTTACAGCTTAAGTATAAACCAATAAATCCTGGTTCTGGCTGGCGTTTGTTTTGAGCAAAGCCAGTTCTTCTCTAAGTCATGTGTATTTATTAGCTTGTTCATCAGCCAAATTCCATTCTCCTCCTCCTCCCTTGTCTTGAAGATAGGCACCATTGCTGTACAAGGAAACAGCAAGAAAGTATGTTGCTGATGATTTCAGCTTTCTGCAGCTCAGCTGACAGAAGCTGGTATTTGTCCAGCTTCATGAGGCCCATTTTTATAGTTTCCAGTGCCATTCTTAGATCCTGACACTGTTTAACAATGCAAGGGCAGCAAGATTTTTTTCCCCTCATCCCAGGAAATACAGCTACTTCTCTGGTGAGAGGTTACAATTAGACAATAACAAGTAGGCTGCATATCAGCATTCAAGACCTTCTGCATTTAAAAAAGGTATGTGTATGTGTTGCTTCTTAATTGTAGGGTCTGTGGGCTATTCTTTGGACACATTTTCTGTTGCTTGCTTGCCATTCCTACTGTTCAACTAGAGCACAAAGAAAAATGAACTCTGAGGACAGGCCATAAACACCAGTTCTGAAAGAGTCCTGTTCAGACACATAGGACTTTTCTATGGGAAGAAATACAAGCCAGCAGCCTAAGTGGACAACTGCAAGTCTTGATGGCTTGCTCTCCCATCATAGGACGCAACGTATCTGTTACTGCACCAGTCCAAACTTGACTAACTGTGATATTATAGTGGCTTTACAAAGATATTTATTATGCAAATGTCACATGGGTGAGTACTGGCACACATGCTTTGTATCAGGGTGTTAAAACTGTTCCAGAAAAGCAGACTAATGGCAATTTACTAAGAATGAACAAACCTTAGTTTTTTGGTAGGTAGGAATGGGAATGATCATACTTGTCCACTGAAAAAACAAAGAAGTTGAAGATGCATCTCGTAATGTACATTAAGTGCTCTTTAGACTAACAGCAGAGATGTTATTTTCAGTAAAACAAGCTTATGGCAAACAATGAACAAAAGGAAAATAAGAAAAAGAAAATAACGGTAATTAGTAAACAGTAAACAGATTTATTACTCATTTTAAAGTAGGACAATTTATTTCTTGTCCTAGCATGGTTTTCCAAGTTTAGTTCAAAAGCATGCAGATTTTGCTTATTGTTAAAGGACTGGTGATCTCATTAAAGTATTTTTACATTATGCTGAAACCTGAAAGCTAATTTCATCAATGAGCCAAATATGTCTCATTCAGCTATTTTGAAAAGCATGGGAAGAATCATTTATATTCCTATGATAAATTGGAAAAATATCGTGCATTCCAGAACCATTTAATTACTTGGAATAATGTCAGCAATTTTCTTCCTGATAGGACAAGTCTAGTCAGGACTTACTAGTACAATGGAAAATCATCTTAACTCAAGTTTTTAATCCTTCTAAGCATCTCAGAGTCATTGATGAATGAGCAGTCCTAGAAATTTAAATTATAAATAAACAGAAATAATTAACTGGAATCAGCAATTGACATTTATTAAAAACATTCTAGTGGTATTTTTATCCTGGGGGCTTTCGAACTTGAGATGATAAGTTCTAAATAACTGACAGGATAACATTTGTACCAAAGGTTTCTTTCTAGAATATCAAGCAGATTTACTTTGTGGACAGTTTGTTCCAACCAAGTCTGTTAACCTTTGCCGAAGACAAATGTTCATCAAATAGCTTTGTCTGCATTCATCCCCACAGGCAGAGTTATGGAAATTAGTGAACTAATTTGAGCTGCAGCATTTCAGGCTGGTGGCCCTTATGAGCGTGGCAGCAAGAAAGTCTAAGAACGTACTCACCAGTCATCAGCGTGTAATAGTTTGGGTAAGAAAGACTGGGAAAGTCTGGAGTTAGATAATCCACTTTCACTCCCCTGTTGACAATCTCTTTGAAGCCAGGCAAAGATTCTAGTGCTTCCTCGGAGATATAATCATGTCGAAACCCATCAAGCAAAAACAGTAGGAGCTTTGGCCGTGCAAGGGATGAGCGTGCCACGGTAAGGACTAGCAGGAGGCACACAACATGCCTTGCCATGTTGCTGGATGGAGCCTTGCCAGAATCCTCCCTGTGCTCCTAGTCCTTGTGCAGTTGCTCTGAAAAAAGCATATGAAGTTTTTTTTCCCAAGGGCTGGACCTCACAATTGTCTGGATTTATCCCAGAGTTTAAAGGTACAGCAGCACAAATTGAACTTGCCAGACTTTCAAAGTTACAGCCTAGTTACCAGAACATTTTGAACTTTGCTGCTATGGTTGCTTGCACTCCAGTAGTGAATACTAATTACACAACACAAGAAGCATGAAAAAGAGTGAGCTGCAGGCACCAAGCTGCGTCAGGCTACTTCTTTGCCATGCAAAGAGTTAAAATAGGCATTAATACAGAGTCTGGTTTTCAGAGCAGCAAATAAATTGGAAAATGTAATCAAGGGTAACTCTCATCCTTACTGTCAGCAAGTAAGTACAATTTTAACCTGAAGGACGATGTTTATTTATGTTTAAAGTTTGAATGTTAGTGTTTGTTAAGATCATATGTTTGTAGCTTTATGAAGAGTTTTGTTGGTCAACGGATGGGACATTTTTTTTGTCCAAATGACTTCCTGTATTTACATACCATTTTCTCTGTCAAGTAGCTGCTAAACACTTGATGTGCCTCTCTGCATTTTCAAATTCTTTTCCTGTTGCTATTCATGAATACACCCACATGATCATAATCAGTTCCAACAACTGTATGAATTAAGAAAACTCCAAAAATGTGTGGAAAGGAGTAAGCCACAATTGAAGTAAATAAGGAAACACTGCATTTTGGCAGCATTTTATTGATCTTGCAACTAGAAGTATGTAGAGATAATATAATATTTTGTAAAATCAAGACATTTCTAAAATGCTTTATTGACTCGTAAAAGGCAATGATTTTCTCTCAAGCTGAATGGCTTTTGCTGAGAAATAAGAAGGTAATAAAATCCAAACTAGATAGTATGTCAATAGTCAAAGCCATTGACCCCCACTTCACTAATGTTATCATAGCGGTATGCATATAAATGTTATATTAAAGGAGGGGACCATGCAGGCCTCTAGATGTTGCTGAACTGTAATTCCCAGCAGCCCTAGATAGCTTGTCCGGTAATGGGGGATGCTGGACATTGCAGTTCAGCAACATCTGGAGAATCAAATAGTTTCAAGGTAGAGTGCTTTTAAATGCCACTGGTGTTGAGTCAGAGGTCTCCCTTTCCCCGAGTGGCAAGACCTCAATTCTTCTCACTTTAACTGACATATTTTAAAAGATTCTGCTGGTTGTTGTCTATTCTACTAACTCTTTTCAAAAGAATAGGAAGACCATTCCCATCCAGGAAGGAAAGTTATTTATCCTTTTACTTTCATCATACAATTGCAAGCAGATATAATATAAGCTAAATAGTTATAATTAAGAAAATAGATAGCAGGCTTTTCCTCCCCCTTATTCCCCACTCCATTGTTATCGCTTCATTTGGTCTGTCAAGTAATTGTAAAAACCTTACCTAAGTCTCAAGCATCATTTGAGTTTCTTACTCTAATAATAGATAGAGAAAGGCCACCATGAAGAAGTCCTTAATCTTTTCACATTTGCAATATGTCCTCTCTCTTTCTTTCTCTCTCAACATAAGCATAGGCATAAAGTAGATATAAACCTACTTTTTGATAGCTGTTTAATTCAATCATTATTAAAGCTATAATTTCTTTATCACAGATTGATTCAAAATTGATTTACCAGGGATCCAGCCCAACTTGTCCTCCTTCATATTAATTTTTATTTTTTTACTTCCCAATCTAGCCTATAGCCCTCATGGTCTCCCATCCAAATGCTAACAAAGACCAGTCCTCCTCAGCTTTCTGAGATCAACCCAAGTCGGTAAATTTTCCTCACTTAACTGACCCCATGTAAAGGTGTAATGTATTAAATCAACACTTTCTGGGAATCTCAAATATTTCAATAGTAAAATCCTGTTTCCTTAGATCTTAAAAGCATAGCTCATTAGGGGTAAGGAATAGACCAAACTTGATTATAAATTGTGCTATAGATTGGTCTGATCAACTGCAATATAAAGTAAATTTAGCGCGGAAGAATAGATGGTCCCATCCATTCGATTAAATTAGGGGAGAACCAGGGTGGGGTAGTAGCTAAGTGCTGAAATATGAGTGGATAGAGCAGGTTCTGGCCCATGCTCAGCCACAGAAGCTCACTGGGTGACTTTGTACCAGTCAGACTTTCTTAGCCCAACCTACTTTGAAGGGTGGTTATTGTGGGAAAAAATACAGATCTTACCGGACTTAGATATAAGTGTATATCAAATAAAAATTCCTCTTCCTAATATTAAAAGTCAGGGAGTCATATCTAGCCAAGAGCCACAGTTGGCCTTTCAATGAAGCACTGGAGGTTGCACTCATGAGAGTCCAAAATAAAGAAGTAGACAGGGCTAGAGCAAAAATCAATTTATTTTATTTTATGTATTGTCGAAGGCTTTCACGGCTGGCATATGATGGCTGGTGTGTGTCTTCCGGGCTGTGTGGCCCTGTTCTTGAAGTTTTGTTTCCTAACGTTTCACCAGCACCTGTGACCGGCATCTTCCCACCACCCACGTCAGAAAAGAGGCATTATCAAAACCCTCATGGATCATGCCAATCGGATCTGCGAAACCCAATT